TTCACAATCGGGGGGACGTCCCAAGACGCTGGATGTAAGCAAGAAGTGAGGGGAGTCTCAGGTGGAGTATAAACATCAACGCGGAGAAGTTGGACCAAATGGCCTGTTTCCAGGTTGTATATTGTACAACAACAACTTGCATTTACACAATGCCCTTCACGTGGGGCAGTGGCTCGGAGATCATCATAATATGCAAGCTCGACACCGTGCTCGACACCGTGCTTGGTAGAGTAGAGATGGCAGAGTCGATGGACTAAATGGCTCCTGTGTCAGCCTGGCTCAGTGGTGGCTTATCGCCTCTGAGTCAGAAGGTTGTGGGTTCAAGCCTCATATCAGAACTTGGAATCACGTAGTCGAGGCTGACATTCCAATGCTGCGCTGGAGGGGGTGTTGCATTGCCGGAGGTGCTGCTCTTCTGAAGGTGAGACGTTAAACCGAGGTCCTGTCTGGCTTTTCTAGTTGATGTTAAAGGTCCTATGGCAATATTCGATAAAAGAAGGCAGTTTCTCCTGGTGTCCTCCAAATAAAATTGGTCACTCACTCTACAGCTGTTTGTGGGACATTGCTATTTACAAACTAGCTCCTGCGTTTCGCCCACAAAATACATAGTCAATTCACTTTACAGTATATCCTGTGAAGCACTTTGAGGCGTCTCAACAATGTGATAAGGCTGTACCAAATGCAAGGATAATTATTATTGCTCCTGTTCCTGTGTTCATAAATGGACCAGCGGCAAGTCTTGCCTTTGACCAGGAGGTGGCCACAATGAGTAAAATGGGATTTCAAAGTTATCCGATTGCTGTCAATCTGCCAGTCCAAAAAATACTCGAATTTCATAGTCCATCTGGCAGTACATTGCTTAAGGCTAGTAGCTGCCTTCCAACTCACTGTCACAGTGAATCAGACAACTGTTCAAATTAATGGCATGTGCAACTCCAAAATACTAACCATAATAATCCTTGCATTTGACATAGCGCCTTATCACATCTTCACTACGCCTTAAAGGCTTCACAGAATTGATTGTATATTTTGTGGGCGAAACACAGCAGCTAATTGCAGACAGCCGTGTCCCACAAACAGTTGTGGATTGAGTTTCCAAATTTTTTATTTATTTTTAAGTGATTATTAGCCCTGGAAAAGCAACCCACCAATCGCCTAACAACCAGGTTCCTACTTATGGTTCGGTAAACAGAGGCTTGCGGAGTAAAGAAACTTGTCCAACATTTTGTCCCACATGGGAATCGAACCCCTGTCTTCTCGCTTGCAAAGCGAATGCCCTAACACAAAGCTACAGGACACCACATGTTGCTACTCAGTGAAATCTGCAATCAACCGCATAGGAACTGGCATGGCAGAAAAATCAAACATTACCTTATTATCACGAGACATTGCTTCGGAGATACTCTTTCAGGATAAAGATCCGATAGCGTCCTGAACTGTATGTTATGTTTGATGTGGTTAGAAAAGCCAGGAGAAAACTATCTTAGGTTAGATCGCTTTTCCAGAGGTAATTATCCCTCCACAAAAATAAAAAAAAAATTTGGTCACTCAATCCATGACTGTTTGTGAGACACTGCTGTGCGCAATTGGCTGCTATGTTTCACCCACAAAATATACAGTCAATTAATTTTACAATATATTCCATGAAGGGATTTGAGATGTCTCAAGGACAAGATTAAGGCACTATATCAAATGCAAGGATTATTATTATTATTACTATACCCCTCAAGAGCATTTAAAATGATTAAAGACCCACAATGATATTATGAACCAGACACAAACCCCTCACCATGTACCTTGTTACCAGGGATACAGCTAACAAGAAAGACTGGACAGGGTAGAACTTTATGAAGATGAGGCCCTTTGAGAGAGGCCCAGATAATTATAAAAAGGTTCAATAAATCAAGTGTTTCCACTTGTTGGTGAGCCCATAATAAATGGGGCCAGAAATATAAGATAGCTGCTAGCTGATCTAAAAGAGTTTAGAAGGAACATCTTTACACAGGAGGTGGCGAGAATGTGGAACTCATTCCCTGAAGTATAGTTGAAGCAGAAAGCATCAATGTATTTAGGAGGAAACTCATAATATATGTTTCGAGGAAGGAAATACAGGCTGACCAAAAAATCGTGATAACATTACAATGTCTAATAAGTCTTAACGAAATTATGATGTAATTTTTTTTAGATAATAGGGTAGCTTCACATCTTTTTGGTCACCCTGGAGAAGCATACGGGACTGGGAATCTGGATGGTTGGTAGTTCATGTGGAGTAGAAACCCACGTAGATTAATTAGCCAGGTGCTCTGTTTATTGTTGTATATTCTATGTAAAGGATTGCTCTTTTACGGATTTTTTCCTTCATATAGGGCATGAAAATATGGAACATCTGCTCAATTAACTTCACCCACAAAATGCACACTTCATTCACTTTCCAATATATTCTGTGAAGCGCTTTGACACATCTCAACAATGTGATAAGGCTCTATCAAATGCAAAGATTATGATTATTATTAATTATTAATTTAGTACTGAGTTTGTAGCTGCAACTGAACTGCTGCTAGTTAACAAGTCCAATAATGAGTCGCATATTTAAGATATCGTAAAGAATTTACAATAGCTTCCAATTATACAGCACTTTTCAAGTTCTCTTCTTGAAAACCGCATACTAATGCTTTTCACTTAGTGTGAACATCTTGAAGCTCTTTACAAAGAAGGTAGACGGGGGAAGATTGCAATAAAATTCAGTGTCTCATATGGATTTAAAAAAAACCTAGCGCAGACTTAATGTGCCGAGTGGCATTTTTCTGTTGTGTAACATTCTGTGATTCTAAAATATCAGCCATTGTTTTCTTTCAGATGCCAATCAAATTGCCCGGCGAATTTTCCAGCATTATTTCAGATTGCATACAAAATACAGTCACTAAACTACATTTCACTACTTTGTGACGTCACTACTTTCCTGTAATGAAAGGCGCCATAACAAATGCAAGGATTACTGTTACTATCTCCAGCATTTGTAGTTTCCCATCTTGTCCACACGTCTATTAAATATACACTCACGCTACATGCAACCAACATACAAATGTCCCTGTAATCAGCTCAACTGCAGGTCTGTGGCATGGCAAAGCCCTCAGAACCAACCTCTCTGAGATCATGTGGTGCTCCTTTCGACCTTAAGGCTCCCAAAAAAATAAAACTACAGCAGCTCAAATGAAAAAACGACAGCACTGGTTGCTGCCAAGACTCCAATCTACTCGCTTGACAAACAGGAATGAATAAAACTTCAACACAGCAAACTGCTAGCAAGCAGGCAGACGTGTCACTAACCATAGTCAGGACCGCACACGACCGAGGTAAACATTTCAAACAAACGCGTAACTGTCCAGTTCAAAACCTTGGCCTCTTCATCTTTTTTTTGGTGCGTGCAGGCAAATCTGACCACAGGAATCTCAGCAAAGGAGGTCAAATGCTCATACAGCCAGCACTGTACGCAATCAATGACTTCTTAAATGTTATGATGAGAGGAGAGACTGAGATGATACACAAACAGATCAACGCCAATCACTTTCCAGACGCCAAATATCTCCAAAGTCTTTAGTTCACAAGGTAAATGGATGGCAAGGAGTGATCTTAAGGCTATAACTGAAGCTAGGTTCCTAAACGCCATGAAAAGCTATGCTTTTGTGGTTTACCTTGCCAGAGACCACTCTGCATAAGATGGACAGTAAAAATAATAATATTAAGTTGGTCACTCAATCCATGACTGTTTGTGGGACACTGCTCAATTGGTTGCCATGTTTTGCCCTCAAAATATACAGCTAATTCATTTTACAGTATTTTCTGTGAAGAGCTTTGAGACGTCTCAACGACGTGATAAGACATGATTATTATGTATTTCGCTCCTTGGGATCCATTCTAGAGCTTCCCTGCAGCAGCGTAAAAGAAATTGGAAGTACGAAGGGAGCCGATTCTCTTGATAAATGCTAACGCCAATTTTTTTCCCCCTTTTTTATTCATCAGTGGATAAGTACGGCCAGGACGGGAAAAAAAAGGCGGGAAAACATCAGACCCTCATTTTATTTACAGAACATGAGATTCGTTGTGCAGTATACGGTCAATGAATAAAACACCTGAACCCAAGTTTCACCCAAGGCTTTTGTTCGAGTTGACAAATTCCAGTGAAAAGGAAAAAAAAACACACAATGATATGGAAAGGTACAGATCAGCCCCAGATTGAACGAGGATTAAGTCAATTAGCTTTAACCTTTAAGAGCGTTAGTCACAGCATTTTCTTGTGTGTAAATCTAGTTTATTCAGCGGGGGAAGAGAGGAGAGGTTAGGATTTACAACAAACCTGCATGTCATTTGTGACTTTGTAATGTTTTTAAGGTAGTTGTGTGTGTGTGTGTGTGTGTGTGTGTGTGTGTATATATACATGTGAGTATATACACACACATATATGTGTGTATATGTGTATACGTGTGTGTGTCTATATATATATACATATATATACACACACACCTATGTCTAGATATACATATACCCCAAAGAGACCGTACCTAAGAAGATAAGCAACAATCCAAATGATTTTGTGCCATCAGTAAATCACATCCCAAACAATTTTACAACAACAGATGACAGAGGGCGGGTGGGGGGGATGGAAGAGGTACAACTGGATAGTCCAACAGTTTGGAGAGGACAAAATGTTGACAATGATGCAGGAATTGTTTGGTATCTTCAGGCATTTTAAAAAATACGTACCGTAGCTCTCGACAGAAATTCAGAAACTTGCATCCACCAATCTAGTATCGAACTTGCTATACAATTTGTTTAAAAAAAATTTACACAATCCAAAGCTGCCAAACAGTATATATATATATGTATATATATATAAAAAGTTATGAAATTTCACATAAAACTGTACAATTATTTTTCAATAGGTCCAAATACCTGGGCGTACAGCCCGAAAAAAAATAATCTTAATTTTTCTTCTTTTTTTAAAAAAAAGCATTCACCTGATGTAAAAAAAATTATATGCAAGAATTTCTAATTCTATACAGTAGTGCAACTACATATATATATAGAGAACATATATATATATATAAAACAATGTATAGATTTTTTTAATTGCATGATGAAACGTGCAGAATAAGTTTTGCGCAGATTTGGTGCAATCACTGGATGGAACGAACGCAAGGCACTGTTTTCCAGGTTGCAGCACTACAAACCTTGCTGACATGAAGACAGAAAAATCATGTGGGGTTGGTGTGTTTGTTTGAAAAAAAAGAATGGACTGGAACACTGCCAGGGATGGATTAACGTTCACACAGTCAGGAAGACACATGAGGTGAGAGTTTGAAGCAAAACTCTATACGGAAGTGGTCACTCTTTCAATGGCATTATTGACCTCGTTTTTGTTGGAGTCCAGTCCTTTAGCAGCGTTCATGTCATTCCTTAAGTTCTCCACCGTCTTTTTCATGGTCTTCAGTTCCCCTGGATGTGGAGTTGCCCTCCTCAGCAGTGTACCCTAGGCAAGCAAACAGACAGAGAATGAACTGACCCACATAGCCCCTTGATTGTCCAGCGCTTTGGGACATCCTCCCAACGTGACAGACGCTGTACAAATGTAAATTTCTTGTTGTGTGTTGTTGTTCCGATCATAGCATTAAATGCAAGGATTATTATTATTATGGCATCAAGTTCTTTCACAAGATTAGTTTAAATGAAGGTGACTATTCAGGTATCTGATCTCATCCCTCCAGAATACATCCAACTTTCTTTTCATCACAGTATCAAGGTTCTTTGTTTTTTTTAATTGAATCCAGTGTCCTGGCTTCAACTGCCTTTCCTGTTCCTGCTGCTAATTTTACCTTCTAGGAAGCATTACTAGTGCCTGCCCTGAAAATGCAATTTCAAGTCTAAACCTGTGTTCTCTTGTTCTACTGTCTTTTTGCATCCTACAGTATTGTTGTTTGTTTACTTTTGCAATCCCAGTTAAAATTGTATGCACCTCTGAGGTCCCCTCTCACACACCTTCTCAAGATTGAAGAGCTCTAGCTTGGCTAATTGTTGCTCACAGCTCATTCCTCTAACACTAGGGATCATCCAGTATTACGAATGAGTCATAGAGAGAGAACGAGCATGAGAGAGAGGGCGGGCGTGAGCACGTGAGAGCGGGGACGAGAGCGTGAGAGAGCAAGCGCAAAAGAGAGCAAGTCAAATACCTGGCAAGAAAAAAAGGAACAGGCAAGAGACCATATAAAGCAGGGTGGTGAAGGGAATCAAGTGACTAGACAGTGTGTAAATACTTAAAGGGAGTTTCCTAGATGCTTATGACAGCAATAAATTTCAACAAATAAGAAGACTGTCATTTACTGTTGGTACCAGTAAATAGGAACCTCCAAACTGAATCTGTTTAAAAGAATACTGAATATTGAAGTTGGTTAAATTTTTCTTCATCCCTGAGGAAGTAACCTGAAAACTGCTACAACACAAAACAAATCAGTTTGTTCCCCATATCTCCAGTTCAATCTCACGAGATTTAAAAGGCATTTGTTGAAAAAGCATTCTGCTTGTGGACCGAAATTATATGCGTGTGTTTCTTAAATTTCTGCAAAGTACATTCAAAAATTTGTGTCAGGAAAAGAGTGAGTCAAAATATCTGGCAACAAAGGGTGGGAGAGACAGTAGGAAACTGCATGGAAGCGAGCCAAAGTGTTTTACAGAAAGGAACACAGTATGTGAGGAATCCAATTAATTAATTACAAACACACACACGTTCCTTGCTCTGGTTGTGCATTTTACCATATGGCAGCTTAATCTAGTCATTCAGTGATTTCAGAATATTCATTTAGATTTAAGTGGCTTCGATGTCTTTAAATGATCAAATTAGCAAAACATTTTTTTTCTTGCAATTTGTTACCATGAGCCTGGATATACTTGACTTGCACTCCCTCAGAGCGAGGAGGTTTAAGAGATTAAGAGATGTGATTGAGGCGTTTAGAATGATTGAGAATGAACAAGGAAACAGTGGAAGACTCGTCCATCTAGTAAACACATCTGGTAAACAAGTAGACATGATTCTGAGTTAAACTATGCAGCATAACTTCATGCAGAGAGTTAACATGCTGCAGAATGCACTACCCCCAAGACAGCGATATATGCAAAAAGGATTGAGGCATATAAAAGATATACGGGAAGAAAATTAATGTTGCTGAACAAAGCGGTATTTGTGTACGTGCATTTAATAAACATAACCACATATTTAAACAGACTTGTAGGCAAATCTAATGAACCCAGGGCAAATAAAATGAAAGACTGGGAATTAAGTTAGTATCTTCAGCATCTAATCACTGCACAGACATCAGGCATCTGCTTTTCCTGTTTAGTAAAAGCGTGCGCGTGTTGAACCAGTTATCCACAGATAACCATCGCAACATTTTGGCCCGTAAAGGCAGTTTGGGATTTACATATTTTTTGGACGTCATAATCAAAAAAACGTTTGCAAAACATAGTAAATTTATTGTAAAAAAATAAACTGAAATAAGAGCAAACTTGTAATTGTTTTATAAATTGCCTCTTTTGGTGCAAAAGACCTATTCCAATCAACAGTAAAGGGCACCGAAACGTTGTCCTGTGTGAAACATGCCATACAAATGCAAGTAGCTGTTGATCTGGGTCAGTCTGTGCTATGGTAATCTCTGCAAGTGCAGCCCAGGGACATAGCCATCAATTGTCAGCGCTTGTTGAGGGGGGGGGGGGGGGGGGGGGGGGAGGGAGAGAGAGATCCCTTTAATGAATAGCCAAGATGACAAACTGGCCACTTGGGAGTAAACCAAATCACAGACAGGATCTGGGTCCTGTCTGTCTATCCATCACTGTATAGCAAACAGTGTGTTGAGTGCAGACTAAGCAGTAATTTTTCCTCCTCGCTGTGAAAGGTCACTTCACTTTTTCACAGCGGGGGGAAGATAAATATAGCCAGCTGTTCTCATTTTGGAACTGCAACTTCACTGAAGTAAACTGAAGTAAATGTGTTGTGCAGCAATTATTAGCGTGAATATTTAAATCTGATGACCACCCCACCCCCACCACAAACCCAAACCACTCGGAAAAGTCAATCAAACAATTTGTTTCAATCAATCTCTCTTTCGCTCTGTTAACTCTGAGTCCTGTAGCTCAGTGGTTAGAGCACTCGCTTTGCAAGCGAGAGACCTGAGTTCAATTCCAGGCAGGACGAAACCTTGGGCAAGTTTCCTTACTCCACACACAGCCTAATAATAATCCCTCCAAAACCAAAAACAATAATAAATTGGTCATTTTCAATCTTCGACTGTTTGTGGTACATTGCTGTGCGCAATTGGCTGCCGCGTTCGCCCACAAATATACAGTCAATTCACTTTACAGCATATTCTGTGAAGCGCTTTGGGACGTCCTCCCGACGTGAAAAGCGCTATATCAAATGCAAGGATTATTATTATTATTATTATTATTATTATTAACTCAGGCTTACTTCATGTCCCTGATTCCACCATCGGTGACTGAGCCTTCAGCCACTTTCCCCCTGCTTTCTGGAACCTGTATTCCTATCCCTTGCTCCCTACCCCTAAAAACTTCTTCTTTCTTTGACTGCTCTTAAGCCATCACCCACCTACACTCTCCTCCCCCACCTCTGGCCCTATCTCCCACCCTGTTTGGGCTCCCATTCTGTCTCTTTAAAGTGCTTTGAGATGATCTGCAGCTTTCAAGTGGGAACCAGACAGGCATGTCAAAAGGAATAAATTGCAGGGTAGGGAATGACAGGTAAATGAGCCTGAATGGATTACTCTTTCAAAGAGCATTCTGGACATGATGAGTTGAATGACCTTTTCTGGTGGTGTCAATTTCAATGGTACTATGCTGAAAGATACCTTTATAAGTGCAAATTGTTTGGCTGTTGGATGTCTGGCGACAAATCCCAAAAGTGGCTTTGAAATGAACGAAGGTAAAACAGGAAAGATTTTTGCCTCCATCGAACACATTCCGGGACTGTTACCTTTTCTTCGTCTTCATCCTCGTCGTCTTTGTCGTCCAAGAAACGTATTGCACTGACCCTGTTCACGGCGTGTTCGTTCCACATTTCATCAGACATGTCATTGACTAGGCTTTCCAGGGCTCCGCAGCGTGGCAGGTTATCTATGATAATCATTAAACAGCTTGTTAACAGGAAAGCTCATATCCGAACAGTCTCTTTTTATTATGAACATTGCTTCGAGGAGTGCAATAATATTTCACTACTGCGTGTGTCTGTGTTTGTGTATGCGTGTGTGTGCGTATATATAAATCTCTTCCACACCTTCCTCGGCTCCCACCCCCAGCTCGGTGACAACACATTGTTAAACACCTTGGGACTTCCTCTCAAAATAAAAGGCGCAATGTAAATGTAAATTTGTATGGTGTGTTAAATATAATTATATATATTTTTAAAAACTCACGTTAAGAATTTTGTTTGTCAAATACTGAAGAGATGTCCCGATTCTATTCCGGCATTTCGTTTCTACAGTATAACAAACGCCCTACAACGCTCTAAGTCACTTTGGAAAATAAAGACGATGGAATGTTTGTGAAAACAGAAAGATCTCTCAACACACACACTGGAAAGTTACATTCTTTACATCACTGCAATCGTTCCCAGTGAAGAGACCTTTCTGGCTGGATGTTATGCTTTCAATGAACCACAGATTTACATAAAATGCGCAGCGCCAAAACAGACCATTCAGTCCATGTCAGTGTTTATACTCCACAAGAGTCTCCATCCATTCCTTACTTACTCCCATACCCCTCTCCCTCGCATGTATATCTAGCTTTCTCTCAAATGCAGTTGCACTATCTGCTTCAACCATGACTTCAAGCAGCGAATTCCACATTCTTACTACCCTCCGTATGAAGAAGTTTCTCTTTTAGATCCTCTAAGTCGCTATCTTAGTGTCCCCACTTGTGTCCGTCCCCAGATGAAATGTCGACTGGTTCAAAAAAGTAGCTTCTCTGAGCTTTCCCCAATGGGTAAAGGTTGACCATTGATCATTACTAAATTGTGGCTCAATGAACTAAGGCAGCACCAGCACTCCCCCACCCCGCCCCCCCCAACCCCGCAGGCAAAATGGTGAGGTAGGCAGATAAATGACGGCTCAGTGTCCCTAACAAAGTGAAAGATAAGAAACACAAAAGTCCCAACTTGTGTTTGGAATCCAGCTGGAAAGTGCACTTGTGGATGTTGTGCAGGTTTAGCCTTGGCTGTGGCATAGTGTCAATGGTGATGCCCTCCCGACGTGAAAGGCACTTATAAAAATGTAATGTCATTATTGTAAATTGTGTTGTATTTCTCCCCCACTGCCACTGAAACTCGCAGTCTGGGTTCATGCATAACAAAATGGTCACTTAGGCAACGTACTGTGTCCTGGATTGAGGGCAGTGCCCACCGAGCTGACTGTCAGGTGGAGTCAGCACTTGCAGGACAGGACGGGGGTGCGGGGAGGTGAGAAATAGGAGGGTGCAGGGCCAAAGAGATTAGTATGTTCATTGGGTTGAACTCACAGAAAGATTCTGGCTTAAAAGCCACATGTTAAGAAACACCTGTCACTGATGCCTAACCTCATGTCAAAAGACCTTTAGCGTTGAAACGGCTTCTGTGTTTCACTCACAAAGCACACAGTCACTACACTCGATGTACATCCCGTGCAACACTTTGAGACGTCCTCCCACCCGCGTGAAAGGTGTTATCCGAAATGTGATTGTTGCTATTATTGTTATTATTAAAAGACCAAAAACAATATGGCTTTTGCTCATTTGATTTCAATATAAGCTGGTGACTTTGGCCATGAGCAGATTACAAGGCTCCATCAAATCATAGGATTTAGAAACAAATTAAAGACGTTCTAAATCAATCCCTTGGGAAATGAAACCAAAAATAATGCAAACACAGGGCAAATACTATCAATTTAAAAATAAACACCGGCTTGACATTTCCACATTAATTTGTTCAAGCTTTTCACAGCACCACAATGTATAAGCAACAGATACTCATATACAAGTTCACTGGCCTTGAAATTACAACAATAAATGAAGCAAACTTTAAATACTCTTGTGTTACTCAGCGCATTGAATGTTTTCTTCCTAAAAGAAAGTAAATCGGGAGGTTGGGGGAGTGGGGGGGGGGAGAGAAGAGGAAAAATAAATAAAAACTTCACATCTCCAAACATTAAATCGTAAATATAAGATCACAAATCAAGTGAAATGTGCAGAGTGAATGTACACACGGACGACAGAAACCAACCACTGGATATTACTACAACATATGTACAACACAAACACCCTCACAGTAATACCACAATAAAGCGCGTGAGTGCACAAGGCATGTGCACAAACATGCGCACTCACACAACACAATTATACGCACGTGCACACACAAACAGGCGCGTACACACATCAGTAATATGCGCACTACAAATTACGTCCATAATTATAGTTGGGAGAAAACCAAACAACATCAGACCGTTATATTTTCCACATGCAGGTGAAGCATAAAAAGTTGAAATTATTTTAATAACACAATGGCTGAGCTGTAGCACTAGCCTACAGCAAACCAGATCTTAAAACTCTGAAGGAGGATTTGGGTGTAAATTAAAAAAAGGGAGACTCTAGCAGGAACGTGCTCAGACTATAATACAAAATAAAAGATAGTCTGGGTGTTTGATGGTTAAGAATTTTAGCCTTAAAGAAAACCGCAAAACACGCAACACTGCAGTTTGACTGCAAAGAACTGTCAAGAAGCATTCAGGGGCTTAACCCATAAGCAGTGGAGTAGGAAATGACAACCTGGAGCAAAGTCATTCTAGGTTGTGTTTACATTTCCGCCAACCAACTACACAATGGCATTCAGTCATTTGAAGCAAATCTACAGTGTGCACAAATCTCTTGGTCAGAGAAAGCATTTTTTGTTTGGGGAATCAAGAGCATTTGGGGAATCAGGAGTACATAATGCATTTGGTTTTAGGCCATTATTCGCTTCCATTGATAACCGTCTGGAGTAAGCACTTAATTAAATAGAATTTATTTTAATTTAGCAAATCTGTTTGGTTAATCTTTTAGATTCAGAAGAAGATTTTGCATCCTCTAAAACTACTGCTGTGGTCAATTGGCTGCCGCGTTTCGCCCACAAGACAACTCAACAACATGATAAGGCACTAAATCAAATGCAAGGATTATTACCATTACTGGTGTAGAATGGCTTCAGCAGCGAATAGACAAGCTTCTGTTTGAAACGAGAAGTCTTAATAATAATAATCCTTGCATTTGATATAGCGCTTTTCACGTCGGGAGGACGTCCCAAAGCGCTTCACAGAACACACTGTAAAGTGAATTGACTGTATATTTGTGGGCGAACGCGGCAGCCAATTGCGCACAGCAATGTCCCACAAACAGTCGCAGATTGAAAATGACCAATTTTATTATTGTTTTTTGTTTTGGAGGGATTATTATTAGGCGTGTGGAGTAAGGAAACTTGCCCAAGGTTTTGCCCTGCCTGGAATTGAACTCAGGTCTCTCGCTTGCAAAGCGTGGATGTATTTATAGGAGGTATTTATATAGGTGTAAAAGATTTTAAATGAGATCAAGGAAGTAAATCTAAAACAAAACTTTCGGATGCGCTCAGGAATAGAGGAGGGCACAGTTCAGGTTTGCAAAGGGCAATTTCAGGACAAACACCGGGAAGTAATTCTTTGCCCAGAGGGTAATTAATAACTGGAACTCGTTGCCCGAAATGATGGATACTGGGTATAAAAAAAACAGCTTGATGCTGTGATGGGTAGGTATTCTGGAGGGATGATAAGATGAGATGAAGGGCCTTTTTCATTCAACAACAATTTGCTTTTATATAGCACCCTTCACATGGGGCATCATCTTGGAGCACTCAACAGTGGTGGAGTCTCACTCCAAATCGGGGGGAGGTGACCATATGCACGGTCCAAGAGGAAGGTTTTCAGCCGGGATCTAAAAGAGGCGTAGTGACTAAAAGCATTCCAGCCGCTCTTGTGAACTCTTGCCTCCAACAGTTTGCAGGAGCATATTTGAGGAACAATTATTGTAAAAACATCTGCTGAATGTGTATGACCATAGCATGAATAGCATATAAGAGGACCTGGATGGATTTGGATGTAGCTAAATGGATGTAATGCAGTTTGGAACAAGAATGAAGGGCTGGAAAAGGATTTAGATGTGATTATTGATCATTCAATCAATGCAAAGCAGTTAATAGAGCTAAAGCAACTCAAGGGCATTTGTCCACAATTTGAAAGAAGTGATTGTAACCTTGTATAACACACATTGGAGGAGAATCAAACTAGATGAAAGATTGGTTTGGATGTAGAAGGCCATTCAGCTGGCCCATCTGATCTCATTGTTCCAGAACAACCAACCCCCCCACCCCCATTGAACCATTTAACTGCTTTTCAAATGAGTCCAGCATATGCTACTAAGATTCCCAGGCCCCCACACTACAGATACATAAAGAGAGAGCAAAAGGGAAGAGATTGCCCGCAAGAAGTGTCAATGTTCCTAATGCAGCCTGTACTTCCTGTTCATTACAAATACTCTGAGGACACAATGAGCAGATGACAACACAAGGAGTAAATACTGTACCGTGGCTGTTCTGTTCAGAAGGCAGTTGAGGAAGCAAGACACAAGTCAGGACCTTTTCTCTATTTTCTATATCTATGTCAGTCTGGAAAGTCAGAAGAGGTTGGGACTGGTTTTCAGATAGCCAAAGGGCCTTCAGCTTCAAGCTTGTCAGTGACAACGGCAAATGTATCAACCTGTAATTTGTTAAAAAAATAAAGGCAGGTTATAACAACCACAGCAATTTTACATTTAGTCCTTGCATTTAATATAGCACCTTATCACTTTGATGAAATGTCGTAAAGTACTTTACAGAATATATTGAACCCGGGACCTCTCGTTTACAAGGCAAACACACTAACCACTAGACTGGGAGGTGAGGGCTTCTCTAAGCACTTCACACAGCTAACTAGGAGTCAGAGCTGGGTGTAGAGAGCATTATTGTTCAGCACTTTGGGACGTTTCTTGACTTGCAAGGTGCTATATCAATGTAAATTTGTACTGTGTCGTATGTATATATTAAAAACGTCAGTAAGCTATCTGGTAAACATTTTTTGCACACTCACTGGAGAGCATCAAGAGTCAGGCTAAATTCTGTAACTATCTTAACATCTACATGTGTGTACATACCAATGTAGATCAGAGTTAGTGATCTGGGCCAGAAACTGGCAAATTATCACCCTCTCAACACTACTGATACCAAGGTCAACAGTGCTGACTGCCATTACATTCCTCTGACTGAAATCATTGGGACCCACGTGTACCCACAAGCACACACACGCACTCTCGCGCAAACACTCATGCGTGCACATACATGACATGGTCCACAAAAGTGCCTGTGCTGCTTGATTGATTTGAGCTACTGCAACTAGTCAGATAACTAGCCCCAATCTTTTAACATCTTATCAATCAGAACAATCCATTTTTCATAACAGATAATGGGGTGTGACTAAAGTTTCTCAACTCATTTGCCTCCCTCTCCACTGCTGACATCAGTTCCTAGTTTACACACGATAACGGAATGATAGCCAAGGAAATGTTTTCAAAGGGTGAGCACTGACTGTACTTTTGAGTATTTGTTTCCGACAATAACACTGGCAGTTAAGACAATTTTCTTTTGAAAATTAGAATATTATTTTTGTGTAAGTCCTAAGTCCTGTAGCTCAGTGGTTAGAGCACTCGGCTCGTAAGCGAGAGAAACTGGGTTTGATTCCCGCCACGGCAAAACGTGAGGCAAGTTTCCGTACTCCACACACCTCTATTTACCTAACAGTAAATAGGAACCTGGTTGTTAGTCGATTGGCAGATCGCTTTTCCAGGGGTAATAATTGGTTCAAAAAAATAATAATAAATTGGTCACTCAATCCACGACTGTTTGTGGGATACTGCTGTGCGTAATTGGCTGCCGTGTTTCTGGATTGGATTGGAGTGTCAACGTACACTACCCCCCAGATATATTGTGCAAATGCATTTTTTTTAAAAAAAAGATTAAAATGCAGTAAATCATGTTATGCTTTCAGCCAGTATGCCCTGAAACTCTGTATCTCCCTGCCTCAATCCCTTCATTTTGCCTCTCTTTTCCCATCTTCGAATCACACCTGAAGTCTTTCCACTTCGACCGTGCCTTCAGTCACCTGCCCTATCTTTCCAGCTCAATGTCAAACCACACCACTGTTAAAGTTCTGCGAGACGCTCCTCATGTGAAAGGCGCTATATAAATGCAAGTTGTTGTTGATCATGCACTTCTGAATGCTTTACACTAAAGACATACAGTTGCTTTCCACATTAGGCTCTCCTATTTTTTAATCATCACCACCTGTAAATTGCCTTATTTCAATGTTAGCAACATGTAAAAGTCACTGGAACAAAGTAAACTGAGGACAGATGCAATGCAGATCTTTTAAATTATGAGAAGTTTTGATAAGAGTTGATTCGACAAAATTATTTCCACTATCAAATGACTAGAGGCCATTGATTTAAGATAATTAGCAAAAGGGGAGATGAAGAGGCTTTCTCTTGAAACAGAGAGTTGTTAGGATGTGGAATGCCCTTCCGGGTACTGTAGTCGAGGCAGAATCCATTTAGCCTTCAAGAGAGATAGATATCTAAAAAGGGAGTATGGGGACAAAGGCAGGTACATGTAGATGAATTACTCTTTCGAAGAGCCAGCACCAATACAATGGATGTTTTCTGTACTGTACATTTCTACATCCCAGGTCCGTTCAATTAAGTTGTACCAACAGGAAGTGATCTTTACCTCCCAAAGCATGCTCACCTGTTTCCAGCTAGGTCAACAACATGTAGTTCAGTTGCTTGTGAAATCTCAGATGGGATCCTGGTCAATCGGTTATCCCTCAAACTGAAGACATTAAGGCTACAGCAGCCGCCAATCTGCAGTGGAAATAAAGATGGTTAGAGGCAAGAGAGTTGATTTACGCAGTCACCACTGGAAACCTACCTCTTGTGCACGAACGCCAATTCAAATCTGACCAACAACCGAAAGCTCAAGAGCTCAAAAATTAAGCTGAAACATGGCTCCTGTTCAAAACGTGTACGACGCAATTGTAATTCCATCGACCCAGACAAGCAGCAAGTGGACTCGGTAAGCAGCAAAGCTAAGAGATTAAAAGTGCTGACGTAATACTCGACAGCCTGAGTCACCATTGTACTTGCATAACTGGTACAATCAGCACTGGGTCATAGGTTCATCTCCACGACCAATACAGCCATGATTTCAAGGTTCCAGATGCAGTACACTGCAGTTTTATAGCCTTTGACTGCACTATTTTCAAGCCAGCTACAAACCACAACCAATTGTTCCACGGGAGATTATCATATCAAGTATATTTGGGTAAGAATATAAACCGTTAGTTCTTTACAGTTTGCTGGAGTACCAGCCCCGCAAAGTAAATGAAATAATAACAATCCTTGCATTCGATGTAGTGCCTTAGCATGTCACCCAGATGATACAAAGTGCTTAAAAGAATAAACGTAAAGTGGTGCAACGATGTATAAAGACATGAAATAGGTTGGTGTTCACTGAGCAGAGGGGCAGAATGGTCAGTAGGTTTGAAGGAGGTCACAGAGGTAGGGTGGGCGAGGCTGTGGAAGGATTTAAAGATGAAACCAAGCATCTCAAATACAATCTGCTGGGGGGAACTGGGGAGGCAGCGAAGCTGAATAAGGATGCAGTAATAGGTTCAAAGAGCCTGGTTTGGGAGAAGGTACGAGCTACAGGTTTCTCGATGGACTGGATCTGTGTAGGGAGTCCGGCGAGCAGAGAGTTCAAAACATCCAGCACGGACATGATGAAGGCATTAATGAGGATCTCAGGGAGAGAGATGAGTTTTGGCAGAGGCGGGTGATATGGTCGAGGCGGCTGAGAAGGTGCTGATGGGAGCCAACCAGGAGAGCCAACACTATGCTGATGAGGCACTGAGGAGGTTCAGTTACAGGACATAGGAAAACCCAAACAGAATATACTGTGGGCAATTTATAATAATAATAATCCTTGTATATCGCCTTATCATATCGTTATATGTCTCAAAGGGCTTCACAAAATACACTGTAAGGTGGTTTGACTGTATATTTTTATGGGCAAAACACAGCAAAACCTAGCTGGAAACAGGTGAGCACACAAGTGTCCCACAAACAGTCATGGACTGAATGACCAATTTTGTTTTGAAGGGATAATTACCCCAGAAAGTGCTGTGTCAAATAACTAACAACCAGGTTCCTACTTACTGCTAGGTAAACAGAGACATGTGGAGTAACTTGCCTTGGGTTTGGCTTACCTGGAATTCCAACCCAGGTCTTTTCACTTGCGAGGCGAGTGCTCTAACCAATAAGCTACAGGACTCCACATTTAGCCATCCCTTTGATAATTTAGTGCATTGAATGGAATCACTAATGCACTGTGAAGCGCTTTGAGACATCTCGAACAATGCAAGGATTATTATTATTGTCACAGACCCATCACCACCCCATTCCCACAATTGGCAAAGTACAAGAAGCCAGAGGTACATTACGTACTGAGTCCAGAGCCATTGCTCGAACTGACATCTCATTGGAGACAAAGTGTCATGACTATACGTAACGTATCGAGGACTGCCCTGGTGAGGAACGTCTGCCTATGTCACAGGCAGATTCATCTGCAGATACACTGTAATTTTGTAACCAGAACACTGCTAACGCACCTACTTAGAATACAGTTCAAGATCCTGATCCTCAACTTCAAAGCCCTCCAATGGTCTTGCTCCCCCCTACCTCCACAACCTCCTAATCCCCTACCATCCTGCTCACTCCATCCGCTCAGTGGGCACCGGTTTGCTTGACGTCCCCTGCCTCGCTCGCCCCACTGTTGGAGGGCAGGCCTTGTGCCACTCTGCCCCCACCCTCTGCAACTCCATCCCGCAGTCCCTCCACCTCACCCATCCCTTTCCTCCTTTAAGACCCATCTCAAGACCCTCCTCTTCGACCGTGCTTTTGATCTCCCTGCTTCCCCACCTGCCCTCCACACTCCCCGACCCCGACCCCCAGCTCGGGTCCAAAACTCTGTTTGTCCAGCGCCTTGGGACGTACTCCCAACGTGAAAAGTGCTATACAAATATAATTTTTGTTGTTGTTGTTGGTGTCATATAGCGATCAAAACCACTTCAGCCGTGATTGCCACTGAGGAAAAATTCCCAGTCAATCATCTGAATGAGTCATTCAAACCCAGAGGTGACATCTGAATCCCCGCACTAGCTAAATCCCTTTATCCCGGGCATTAATCTTGTAAAGAGTCACTGGAGCCTTCCGAGGTGAGGAAATCCTAACCTTAGGTTGGGCACCAAAACAGACCACAGTACTCTGAATGACGCCTGAACGCATTTCCTTGCTTTTATATTCCAGGCTTGTCATAAGAACATAAGACATAGGACCAGGAGTAGGCCATTCGGCCCCTCGAGCCTGCCCCACAGTTTAATAAGATCATGGCTGATCTAACTTATTTCCATTTACCTGACCTATCCCCATGTCCCTTAAACCCTTTAGTTTTTAAAAATCTATCAATCTCAGTCTCGAATATGTTCAATGACTGAACATCCACAGCCTTCTGGGGTAGAAAATTCACAAAGTCACAAAGCTCAACATCGTATTACGGCACAGTGAGTACTGGTCTCACACTACCATCCCATCTCCAATCTACCCTTCCTTGCCAAAGTTCTGGAATGCATTGTTACAGGTCAACTTCGGTCACACCTCTCCCTCCACTCCCTCCTCGAGCCCCTGCAGTCTGGTTTTCACCCTGACTGCCCACAGCACAGGGACAGCGCTTGTCAAAGTGACAAATGACGTCCTCTCTGTCTGTGACCAGGGCTCCCTCTGCCTCCACCATTCACAAGACCCAGCTCATTCAAAACTCTGCCGCCCGCATACTGACCCAGACCAAACTCCGTACCCACATCTCACCAGTTCTGGCCCAGGCTCCACTGGCTCCCCATCACTGAACAGCTTGACTTTCAAAATCCTCACACTTGTGTTCAAATTCATTCACTCGCTGGCACCTCCCTACCTCTCCGACCTCATCACTCCCCAATCCACCACCCAGTGCCTCTGCTCAACTGGCAACCGGCCTCCTGCTTGTCCCTCGTACACTCTGTCCCACCATCGGAGGTCGTACTTTCAGCCACTACGCCCCAAAACTTTGGAGCACTCTCCCTCAAACTCTCTGCCTTGCCCCCTCTCTCAAGTCCCGCCTGAAAACTTTCCTCTTCATCCGTGCTTATGGCCACCTTCCACCTCCCCCTGGCTCAGAGTCAGTCTCCGCCACTGTTAAGTTCCCTGAGATGCTACCCTGTGTGGAGGGCGCTATATAAGTCCAAGTTGTTGCTGTTGTTGGTCTATCTGCCCCACAAGAGGTGGTCAGGTTTTCATCCATTCTGTCCTCGCTCTCTGCAACTCCATCCCAGAGTCTCTCCAATTTGTTTCCACACTCCACTCCTTCAAGGTACATCTCAAGACGTGCCTCTTTAACTGCGCTTTCGGTCATTTTTGCTCCTTTCCACACACACACCCCACCTCCCTCGGCTCCCACCAAAAGTTCAAATGTCCAGCCAACAGCGCTTTGAGATGTCCTCCTGACAAAAGGTGCAGGGTAAATGTAAAATTGTATTGTGTTGATTTCTTTCTCCATCTACAAATTAGCATTTTATCAGCTAATCTGCTTTTGTCTTCTGAATCGCTTTACAGCGGTCCAAGAGGTACATCGGATGAACAATATAGTCCAAAGTATGCTAAATACTGACCTGTATTTAGGATGCATTTCCATCTGACATACTTCTCCTCCAAAATGTACTACTGTATCCCACAATTTCCCATGTTTAACTGCATCTACTGTGGTTCAGTCCACTTGCTTCATCTGTCCATGCCCCTCTCCCTTCTTCACAATTCACCACACCATCTAGTTTGGTGTCATCAGCAAACTCCAAGGTATACGCCTTTCTCCTCTGGTATCCAAGTCGTTTATGTGTAGATCTTGTGTGATGGAGCTCAAATTACAAGCCAAATTTTATATAGCTTTACATTCTGAAGAATGCAACATCCATTATGAGGCTAAATGAAACATTCAATAATATTAATAATAATCCTTGCATTTGATATAGTGCTTTATCAAGTCATTGAGACGTCTCAAAGAACTTCACAGAATATACTGTAAAGTGAACTGACCGTATATTTTGTGGACGAAACGCGGCAGCCAATTGCAAAGAGCAGTGTCCCACAAATAGTCGTGGATTGAGTAACCAATTTTTTTAAGGGATTATCAACTAATAAGTGGGCTCCGACTTATCCCAAGGTGAACAGAGGAGTGTGGAGTAAGGAAATGTTCCTATGGTTTCACCCCGCCCTTTCTTTTCGACCGCGCCTTTGGTCACCTTCCCCCCCTCCCCCTGGTTCAGTCCAGGGATCCAAAACTGTAAAGCGCTCTGAGACGCCGCCCGGCGTGGAGGGCACTGTATAAATCCAAGTTGTTGTTGTTGCCCGGAAATCACACCTGGGTCCTCTCCCTTGCGAGGCAAGTGCCCTAACCACTACACTACAGTACCCCATTACCATGTTTCCATGATGTCAAGGCAAAGGGCCAAGGAACAGACTCTCCTTTGTGAGCACTCTAATCTACAGGACTATACTACAGGACACGTGTATTGCTTCAAAGTCTCAATTTTACCACTGTCTGAAATTACAACCATAAAACCCCAATTCCAGCAAAAATAAATAATCCTTGTATTTCATACAGCCTCTGGCTAGGTTGCTAAAATGTTTCAAACCCAATTTATTAAATTCTTACTATGCAGTTTGTGGGCAAAGGTGCCATCCAATTTCCACACAGTAATATCCCACAAATAGTCATGAATGAATAATCAATAAGCTACAGGACTATACCCTGTGAAGCACTTTCAGATGACCTTCCAACATGATAAGGCGCTGTATCAAATGCAATGATTATTATTATTTACAGTGGCAGGTCAGACAAGAGGGGGGAGACCTACACTGTTAAGCAAAAGCCGCAATGTTTTCAGGAAAGGCAGCACATTTTTCTACCACATTTAGCGCCTAAAAGCAAACTGCACAATTCAACAAGTTACAGAACACTGCATGAGTTTTTCAAGTTCACAGTTTAAGAAAATAAATTCCAGTGTGTTGAACAGATTAGAATATTTATACCACCCACTCCACCCACCCCACTCCCTCCTCTCCCTCCCCCCCAAGAGTTTGAGGCTCCTGCACACTAATTCATCCAAGAGCAGAAAGTACAAAACATAGTAATTATCTCTCTGGCATCTACTTATTTGCACCTCATCAATTCAGCAACAGACAGACAGACGAGCAATGCTGACAGGCAGATAATTCACACGTTCTGACTTGAAAGCATCAGCCCAGGTTCACAGCTAACAACAATAACAAAACAACATGATTGCATTTAACGCGAGGCATTAGAATGGGCTAAAAATACACGTCGGGCTTAAGCCCTTAGGTGTTGGGCACAAATGAGCAAGAAGTCCCTTTTCAGCCTATTATCTTCACGGCTTTTCAATTTACCTCAAATGTCAAGAAAAAAGGTTCAACGATGGTAAAAACAGGTTCAGTTCTCATCAGGTTATTTTCTTTACACTAACACGTTTTTCAGTAAAATCCTGCAGGTTGTGGGCAGCGCCATAGCACACAACAACAACAACTTGCATTTATATAGCGTCCTTCAATGCTTGGCTACACACAAGGCTTTAGAGTAAGAGACCATCCTCTGCACTCCTTTCAGGTTCTGCTTCACATTTGTTTTTTTATCTATCACTTTCCACCTGTCTTACATCCAAAGGTGTTGCCTTTTTTTCTCCTTTCCTCTCTCCTCTTATACTGGAGCTACAAATCCAAAGGTGCCTTGGCAGGTACCTTGCTCAAGTGACCGTAAACCGTGGGCTGGCAGTGAGTGTTGGCAGCTATCCGACTGCAAAATCCATCAGAGGCAAGTCTGATCCTTCACTTACTTAGCCGGGTGTCTGATACATGCTTAAAAGTATCCAAACCAAGCTGAGAATTCCACGCATCCCAGCTTTCTGCCGTCTACTCGCTCGAACTCTCTTCCGGTTTCTCTCCCTGCCCGGACAGTATTAAAACCCTGTCTCTCCAACTGCGCTTTCATTCAACATCCTCAAATTCCACTTGCTTTCCTCCCTTCTCAGGGAGGACCCATTGTCTTTCCGAAGTGCTCCAAGACGTTCATCCTATGTCAAAGGCGCTATACAAGTGCAAGTGATTATTGTACCAGTGTCTGCAACCAGGTAACAGAAGCCAAGCCAATGGTACCTCAAGCACCGATCAGCGTCATCCAAAACATCCAGCCACCTCCGACAAACACACCCCACATGTGCTGTGCATGCTCATGCTGTGGTAGTTTAACATTCAGTGAGACGCTCCATTTGGTTTTTATTTTCATTAATAAAAGAAAAAAAAACCTGCAATAATTCAAGCGTGTGAAGTACCCGGACAATTGCGCAAGAAAAGCAGTGCATGGCGCTAAACAAATACCGTGCTAGGCAAAAACCAAGCGGACAGGTCTGCGATACACCATTTCCTTACAATTGCGTGCAACTGCAGATGAGTTTCACATACAAGCATACTCACAGGTTTACATTCCTATTTGTATTTCACTATTTTCCCAAGCAGCGAACATTCATAGGAAATAAAAACATTAAAAAGATTAAGTTTTCCTTCCCTTCTATCGTTTTCCACCTCACTTAGGACGGCATCGTCAAAAGCAATTAACCCATTCACTCCCCCTCCACGAAAGTTATAATCTCCTCAGCACTTATTGTTGGGGTGGTACAAACTCGCTTTTTAAAAACATGATTAGAAGAGTTTCTCCCTTCCTTCCTCCCCCACCTCCAAGCTTAAAGGACGAAATGGAAATTATAAAACATTTACCATAAAATAAAAAGTGAATGTTGACTCTGTGAGATGCCATCCAGTTAGTGAATGTTTCTTTGGCAAACTGAAAATGGTCAATTTAATTTTATAGGTTTTTTTATACAAAAGTTGACCTCTTTGCGAGATCAAATTGACTGTAAATTTTAGGTCGCTAACTATACGTCGACAGCAGCCTCATTGAGATGTCTCAAACATTCAGGCTGTGATCGCAACTTTCAGGAGAGGAGGTTTGGGAGGAATTTTTTTCCCCACAATGAATATTTGGTAAAGTTTGAGTGGTGCCACTGGGGGTGAGAAATCACATTTAACCCAAATACTTTGCAGTTTGTGTTGATTCTGTGCCTCTTTTGCGACACAGTTTAAATAAGCCCTTTTTACGTTGCACCCAACGTATTTGCACTTAACAGGTGGTTAGTGCTGGAGTTTTACAGCACTCAAAATACTCTCCCCAAGTACAGGTTTCAAAGCGGGAAAAGCTTATCGTTTTTCACGATTCGAAATAGACTGAGAATTTCACACACTCTTGGTGCGTTTCACCAAAATCTCAGCGATAACAATGCCCACAATGCTTCAGCTATAATTCCAGCAACACACGAATACCTCTGTAACCAATGAAACACTTTGTCATAGAACCATGCAACTCCATCATAAACAAGTCCATGTCACGGCATGCACTATATTGTGTACCAGTAACTTAGCACAAGCCAAGACAATACGTAAGCTGAACGGTTTTCGAGACTAAGATTTTGTATAACAATATTTTGTTGATAACGGCACTGAATTCTGTGGCTGATTTTGAAACATCCCCATTTAGACGTTTAAAATCATATATATATATATATATACCCTGAAGCTTCACATTTTTTTTCCTTGCATTTGATATAGCGCTTTTCACGTCTTCTAGACGTCCTAAAGCGCTTCACAGAATATACTGTAAAGTGAATTGACTGTATATTTGTGGGCGAACGCGGCAGCCAATTGCGCACAGCAGTGTCCCACAAACAGTCATGGATTGAAAATGACCAATTTATTATTGTTTTGGTTTTTTTGGAGGGATTATTATTAGGCATGTGGAGTAAGGAAACTTGCCCAAGGTTTCGCCCTCTGCCTGGAATTGAACCCAGGTCTCTCACTTGCAAAGCGAGTGCTCTAACCACTGAGCTACAGGACTCCACAAGGACTTTTAATGTTTAATGAATGTTTAATGTTTAATGAACACACAGAAATACAACACTATTTAATGTAAACAAGTATTCCACATAACATTGTATACTGGTCTCCGTTTACAATACCTACATATATAAACGTAATCCATACTTCTCTTTTGTATTACGCTAGGAAAGATAGCAACAAGTATTTCTTTGTAGAGAAAGTAAATAAACCATTGGAACTAATTGCCAGGAAGGATGGGTTGATGGTAAACCTGGCTTGAGGTTGTAAATGGTAAGACAGCAACATGAGTATTCTGTAAGGATGAGCATAATAATCCTTGCATTTGAGATAGTGCCTTATCATATCAGTGAGACGTCGCAAAGCGCTTCACAGAATATATTGTAAAGTGGATTAACTGTGTATTTGTGGGCAAAATGCAGCAGTCACACCCAGGTCCCACAAACAGTCATGGATAGAATGGGCAATTTTTTTTTCTTTTGGAGGGATTATTATCCCCAGAAAGCGATTGGCACAATCAGCTAAAAAGCAGTTTCCTATTTATTGCTAGGTAAACAGAGGCGGGTGGAGTAAGGAAACTTGCCTAAGGTTTACGGAAGGTTTCGCCTTGCCTGGGAATCCAACCTTGTGAGGCAGGTGCTCTAACTACACTATGGGACTCCGCCCAAACCACTTGTAATCTTGTGAAATACAGATGCCATTATCTTTACCCTTAGTTTTTTTTAAAAAATAAAGTAGTTTGGTCTCAGGTACCAGAATAAGAGAATGCAGTTGGGGAGCAACTTTAAATTGGATCTCACAGAATCAATCTCTGTGGGTGTAAAGAACACAGGCCCAAAGAAATTTCACAGAGGACCTATTGCATGCACCTGCTCAATGGACACAAATGGATGGAGTTTTTGAACTTCACTTAAAATCTGAGAACTGAGGAATCTCAGTTACCTACCTCTTTGGGAAGTGAGGTCAGACGATTTCTGTCCACGTTAAAGTTCGTCAGCTTCCGCAGTTTCCCAATACTCCTGGGCAAACTCTAAAAGATCATAGTTTTTAGAGTTACACAAGCGCGGAATACTTATTCAACACAACAATCTAGTTTGACAGAAACATTACTGTACAGCATTAGGATTCTGAAAGTTTCTCAAATAATATTAAATAATAATCCCTGCATTTGATATAGCACCTTGTCACGTTGTTGAGACATCTCAAAGCACTTCACAGAGTATACTGCAAAGTGAATTGACTGTATGTTTTGTGGGCGAAACACAGAAGGCAACATGAAATTTGCAGTGCCTGAATACTATGGAATGCATCAAATTTTTATTCCCTTCTTTGCTTCAAAGACATGTATCTGCAAAACCAAAGACTAAAAACTATTCTGGAACGAGCAATTTCTTCTGGGGTTTTCAATGCAGAAACACTTTTCTATATAAAGAAAATGTGAGACATAAAAAGACCTCTTTCTATTTTACATGCAAAATCAACAGTTCCACAGAATACTGATTTACAGTCCACTGGGAAATAAATATTCTGTACACAAATCCCCTCAGGGCTATACAGTTCTTTTTAGATGAACAGAAAAATGCAGAACTCTTCAGTCATGGAATTTAAATTTGATTTGTACGCTGAGCAAAGAAATCTCATGTAGCAGAGGAGGTGCCTTCAAAGTCAATGCAATCTTTCTCAATTTTAATAATAATAATTCTTGCATTTGATATAGCACCTTATCATGTCATCGAGACATCTCAAAGTGCTTCACAAAATATACTGTAAAGTGAATATACTGTAAAGCACTCCAGGACCCTACCTGGCACGGCAGCCAATGCTCACAGCAGTGTCCTACAAACAGTCATGGATTGAGTGACCATATTTTCTTTTCCTACTTTTGAGGGATTATTACCCCTGGAAAGCGATCCGCCAATCGACTAACAACTGGGTTCCTACTCACTGTGAGATAAACAGAGGCATGTGGAGTAAGGAAACTTACCTAAGGTTTACCTAAGCTCGTTTCCAGCACAGATACGAGTGGCTGCTTGACCTTGTGTGCTGTAAATTTCTATGATTTTATTATGGGCTCTACTGATGCATCTCAGGAAAAAATTACTCTGACACTTTGCCACCCCCCTGCCCCCCGCCAACTCCCTACTTGCCAAAATGTCACCGCTATATCGCTCCACAGCCCGCTTAACAAACATCAGTTATTCAATGGTAACCGAATGTGCCCAGCAACACAGGAACCCTCGTATTTCAAGTAACATTCGAGCACCTCGGTCTGTAATTGTGGCTATAGAAGTCAATCCCATTGCTAACCAGATGTGCAATCTGGGGCTACAACATGATCCAGTAACCCCTCAATTGTTTTAATAGACTAGTTGACCACAAGCTGTTGGATGGAAATACTCACCACCAATTGGTTTTCTGTAAGTACAAGTTCTGTGAGGTTCCCACACTCCCCGATAGCTTCAGTCAGCTGAACAAGACGATTCTGGTCCATCTTCAGGATTGAAAGCTGCTTCAGTTTTCCTGCAGAAGGAAAACAGTTAAATAGAAGGAAAAGTTCCAATATACTGCATACGATAATAATTGTTACAACACAATGACGTCTATAAAGTTCAGCGACTGTGCATTTTATAGGCAAACTCAACAGCTAATGTGCACACAGCAATGTCGCACAACCAACCATGAAGTGAATCCATCCATTTTATTTGGAGGATTGTTGGCCACGACGCTGGGTGAAATTCCCTTCTCTTTATGTCCATCATTGCAGACTGACACGACTTTGATTCCTTAATAACAATGAAACAATAACCCTTGCATTTGATATTGTGCCTTATCATGTTGAGATGTCTCAAAGTGTTTCACAGGATATCCAGTGAAATTGTGCTAATTTCAACAAGAAAAACTTGCAATTATAAAGTGCCCTTCTCGCAGGGCAGTGTCTCAGAGCGCCTAACAATGGCGGAGCTTGACTCTGAGCCGTGGGGCGGAGGTGGCCGTAAGCACGGCCGAAGAGGAAGCTTTTCAGGCGGGACTTGAAAACGGGAAAGAGATGGGGCAAGGCGAAGGTTTTGAGTGTTCCAGAGTTTCGGGACATAGTGGTTGCAAGTGCGACCTCCATTGGTCAGTTGCGAGGGATGAGCCAGAGGCCAGTTGAGAGGAGGCGCCGGGTGGCGGATTGGGGAGTGAGGAAGTCGGAGTGGTGGGGAGGTGCCAGGGAGTGAATGGATTTGAACACGAGTGTGAGGATCTTGAAGTCGATCCATTCGGTGATGGGGAGCCAGTGGAGCCTGGGCCAGAACTGGTGAGATGTTGGGTATGGAGTTTGGTCCGGGTCAGTATGCAAGCGGCAGAGTTCTGAATGAGTTGGATCTTTTGAATAGTGGAGCCGGAGAGGCCGTCGAAGAGTGTATTTGAGTATTCCAAAAAAGCGGTGAGAATCGCATACACGAGGGTTTCAGCTGTGTTTGGGGTAAGGTCGGAGGCTGGCAATGTGGCGTTGGTGGAAGAAGGCGGATCTGGTCAGGGACTGCATATGGGGGAGGAAGGACAGCTGGAGGTCGAACTGGATGCCTAGATTGCGCACTTGTTCAGTGAGTCTGAGGGAGAACCCAGGGAGGTTGAGGAGTTTAGATCCGCAGAAGTGTAGACATTGACGGGAGCCAAAGAGTATAGCTTCCGTCTTGTCCATATTCAGCTGCAGGAAGCTGGCACTCATCCATATCTTGATGTCTACCAGACAAGCTGATAGATCAGCAGACCTGGAGTTAATACTGGAGCAGGCAAAGTAGATTTGTGTAACATCCGCAAACATGTGTCTGCGGATGACTTCGCCTAGAAGGAGCATATAGATAAGGAAAAGAAGAGGACCAAGGATGGAGCCCTGGGGTACCCAGTGAATTTGACAGTGAAAATTATTCAATAAACTGAACTATTCATATAACCAGACTAAACATAACAGGAGATTCATCATCCAAAGTTCCAAATTCTATTCAACCAACCAAACTATTCAATTATCTGATATTCAATTAACTGAATTTCACTGTATTGTAAAGTGGTTTGACTGTGCATTTTGTGGGTGAATTTGCACGCAGCAAACTTTAAGCTCTCATCCGAAGAACAGGACTTCTAACAATGCAGCGCAACCAAACACTGCACTAGAGTGTCAGCCGGGACTATGAATGGAATCAAATTCATGAAAGAGGATTTCAATACACATATTAACCCAGAAGCCAGAGAGCTACCAAATGAGCCAGGCTGATGTGAAGTTGCAACTTACTTCATGGCTTAATTCACAAGACTTAAGGCTTCTAAAAACATTCTGTATACAACAGTCAATATCAGCTCCCTCAAAAGACAATTACAATTCACAGACCATGATGTACCATTAACCACCAAAACAATATTTGGGATAAGGTTCTAAACATTACCTCTAATTATTGTAATATAAGCAATACAAGGAAGGACCATGTAGTTTGTCTTGGTTCACACATTTCACCTGTCGAGGGGAATATTGGGGAGGAAACTTTTCTAACCTAATGTATTTGGGAGGTGGGGGGGCTAGGAGGGTGGGCGGGGAGGAGAGACACTCATTCAAATAATAACTTGGGCTTAGCTGAGGCAGAAAGGAATGGATCTGTACAGGAGGGGAATAGGAGGGATAACAACAACAACTTGCATTTATATTGTGCCCCTCTCACAGCGTAACATCCGCGAGCATTTGGCAGTGGCGGAGCACGACTCCGAGCCGGAGGGAGATGAAGGTGACTGTAGACACGGTCAAAAAGGAATGTCAACTTCAAGATCCTCACACTCGTGTTCAAATCGCTTCACTCTCTGGCACCTCCCTACCTCCACATTCCCCAATCCACTAGCAAGTGCCTCCGCTCAACTGGCACCAGCCTCCTGCTTGTCCCTCACACCATCGGAGGTCTCGCTTTCAGCCACTATGCCTAAAACTCTGGAACACTCTCCGTCAATCCCTCCGCCTTGCCCCCTCTCTCCCCCTTTTCAAGATCCCCTGAAAACCTTCCTCTTTGCCCATGCTTACGGCCACTTCACCTCCCCTGGCTCGGAGTCAGGCTCCGCCATTGTTAAGAACTCTTGAGACGAAACCCTGCGTGTAGGGCGCTATATAAGTGCAAGTTGTTGTTGTCTTCAGGCACGACCTGAAAATAGGGAAGGAGGGGGCAAGGTGGAGGGATTGAGGGAGACTATTACAAAGTTTCAGGGCATAGTGACTGAAAGCGTGGCCACCGATGGTGGAATGGAGGGCATGAGGTACAAGCAGGAGGCCGGAGCCAGTTGAGTAGAGGCAATGGGTAGTGGGTTGGGGAGTAAGCAGGTTGGAGAGATAGGGAGGTGCCAGAGGATGAAGGGATTTGAAGAAGAGTGTAAGATATTGGAGGCTCATGGAGTACAAACACCAGCACAGACAAGTTAGGCAGTTGGCCAGTTTCCATGCTGTACCTATGTAATTATACAGCGCTTTTCATGCAAAATTAACACTACCAAAGCGCTCTTCACCATCAATTTGTTTAGAAATTCTACTTTGTTTTTCTCCACATGAGATTGCCCTCAAGGTATCCAAGGGCAATTCAAGGCATGATCGCAAGCCAGAATTACAGGTTTTGCTACGTTCCTTGTGAGGAAACAGTTTTCCGCAATAAAACAACTGAGATTGAAACTCCGGAGCAGAAGATCACAAAGCTAAACAACAACAACAACAAACCCACTGGTCTCTCACTCTAAGATGCAGAGCACGAGGGAAAATGCATCACATCTGTAGTACACCCGTTCTTCTCCAAATTGTAGAACATCTTTCATTGCACTCGGAGCGCTGCAATCAACATTCAGAAGTGGATGGAGCTGAGCAGAGTCAAGAGAGCGCGGGGCGGAGCCGAGGCCTAGCTGCGGGTCATGGACTGCGCTTGTAAAAGTCACAAACGACATTCTCTCTATCTGTGACCAGGGCTCCCTTGTCCTCCTGGACCTCTCCGCCACGTTCGACACAGTCGATCACGGCATCCTCCTGCACCGCCTTTCCTCCGTCATCCACCTCAGTGGGACCGCACTCACAAACCACCAACAGTACATCTGCACAAACGGCTTTTCCTCCCGCTCTCACCCGGTCACCCGCGGGGTACCCCAAAGATCCATCCTTGGCCCCCTCCTCTTTCTGATCTACATGCTCCCTCTTGGGGATGTCATTCGCAGACATGGGGTACACTTCCAAATGTATGCGGACGACACCCAACTCTATTTTTCCACCTCTCTTTGCGACCCCCAGTCCCCTGATGTTCTGTCAGGCTGCCTGTCAGACCTCAGGGGCTGGATGAGCGCAAATTCCCTTCAGCTGAACTTTGACAAAACGGAAGCCATACTCTTTGGCTCTCATCAACATCTAAAATCTCATGGTTCTCACCTCCTCCACCTACCCAACCTCCCACTAAAACTCTCCGAACCCATACGCAACCCCCAATTATCCTTCCTCCCCCACATCCGGTCCCTCACCAGCACCGCTTTCTTCCACCTCCGATGCATTGCCCGTCTCTGCCAATACCTCACTCCAGAAGCCGCTGAAACCCTGGTCCATGCCTTTGTCACCTCTCGGCTGGACTACTCTAACGCCCTCCTCGCCGGTCTCCCATCCACTACCATCCATAAAATCCAAATCATTCAAAACTCTGCTGCCCGCATTCTCACTCGCACCAAACTCCACGCCCCGATCACCAAGTCCTTGCCAGTCTGCACTGGCTGCCTGTCCCAGAGAGGATCGACTTCAAGATCCTCACCCTTGTATTCAAATCCCTCCACTCCTCTGCACCCCCCTACCTCTCTGACCTCCTCTCTCCTCAAAACAGTGCCCATTGCCTTCGTTCCTCCGGGTCTGGCCTCCTTCTTGTCCCTCGAGTCCTCCGCTCCACCCTCGGCGGCCGTGCCTTCAGCCACTATGCCCCGAGGCTCTGGAACTCCCTTCCTCACTCCCTTCGCCTCGCTCCCTCTCTTCCTATTTTCAGGTCTCTGCTGAAGACCTTTCTTTTTGACCGCGCCTTTGGTCACCTTCCCACCCTCCCCCACCCCCGGCTCAGTTCCGGGATCCGTTACTGTGAAGCTCTCTGAGACGCCGTCCGACGTGGAGGGCGCTATATAAATCCAAATTGTTGATGTTGTTGTTGTTGGAGGCCAACACCCTCAGCACCAGAGCTGCCTAACAAGCCTTCTCTGCAAGTCTTTTTTAACCATCAAGCGCAGGATACAGAACCACGCTGGGTCACGACTGCAGTGTTCAGGAATCAATACCCAAGATCTATCTCCACATTTCTGTGCAGCACATCAATAAGTCAAGAGAGTTCTCACTGAGCAGGTTGTTAAATAGGGAACTTGGTGTTCAGTTACTTCTGCTCAGCTCTGATGTTTGGCACAAATATCTGACAAAGAATTCATTCATTCTTTCATTCATTCATTCATTCATTCATTCAAGTGCTCCAAGATGCTACCCTATGTGAAGGGTGCTATATCAATGCAAGTTGTTGTCGTCGTTGTTCTTGAAACCTGGCCCTAATACCTTCCGCAGTATTAGGGGTAGGTTGTGTCCCTAAGCAGGATACAATCCCTCCAGGGAGAGAGTGCGCACTCCATCCCAACATCCTATCATAGAATTCTCAGTTTGGCTTGGATAGCCTTTCGCATGGTGAAGGGTCAGACACCTGGCTGACCAAACAAAAAATGTTCTTGAGGCTCACTCGAAAAGACATTGGGCTGCCTGAGACAGGCCACTTTTAATGACTTGGGAGGTCGGAGTGTCTCAGAACGTTTAACAGTGGCGGAGTCCGACTGTGAACTGGGGGGAGGGAGGAGGTGATTGTTAGCACCTGAAGCGCATGAAGAGGAAGGTCTTGATACATACAGGTCTGTCATACATACATTCAAGCAATTTCACCTACCTACGCCAACTGGCAGAACATCCACTAGGTTTTGTGAGACCAGCAGATCAGATAGCGAACTAAGTCCACTGATCTCTTCCGGAAGCTTCTCCAGTTTATTTTCTGACACATCTAAACACAGCAGGTTCTTCAGATTCCCAATCTCCTGTTGGAATTGAAATAAACCACAGTTCATAAAAGCACAATTCATATCAATTTCCAAATCCTGATGATAATAATAATAATAATTCTTGCAGTTGATATACTGCCTTATCCTGTCTTCGAGCTGTCTCGGAGCACTTCACAGAATAAACTGTAAAGTAAATTGACTGTATATTTCTGAGCGAAAGGCAGCAGCCAATTGCATACAGCAGTGTCTCACACACAGTCGTGGATTGAGTGATCAAATTATTCTTTTTTTTAAAAAGGGATTATTAACCCCAGAAATGTGATCTGCCAATCGACTAACAACCATGATCCCACTTACTGCTGCGTAAACAGAGTTGTGCAGAATGAGGAAACCCGTCCTGTTCGGGAATTGAACACAGGTCCCTTCGCTTGCGAGGCGAATGCTCTAACAAATACGCTTCTGAAATCCACATTTTTTTTACTAATTTGCTGCAAAATCTCAAAACATTCTACACTGGTTGGCAAATGGTAATTGAGAGGAAGAGATGGCTAGCTACCAAAGGTTTTTAAAACCTTCTTCAACCCCTCCAGTTAGTTCAGTAACAGCAGCCAGCCAACTTCAATAAAAGATCAGTGCTTTTTCAATTCCTCCGGGAAATGCAGGAAGCACTGAAATCTGTGTGCCAAACATTCGTCCACAACGCCAGCAACTGCACATTTGGGAATAATGAAATTGAAAGCTACTGGACGCAGTGGATCTCAAAACTTTTCATCCTGGTAGTTTGGGCCAAATATTCAGAAAATGCAGAAAAACACACTGTAGCGTATATAATAATAATCCTTGATTTGATATAGCGCCTTGTCAAGTCTTCTAGAAGTCCCAAGGCACTTCACAGAATATACTGTAAAAGTGAATTGACTGTATATTTGTGGGTGAAACGGGGCAGCCAATTGAGAACAGCAGTTGTCCCCAAAAAGTTGTGGATTGAGTGATCAAATTATTTTTTATTTATTTTGAAGGAATTATTTCCCCCAAAAAAAGTGATCCACCAATCAACTAACAACCGGGTTCTTACTTACGGCTAGGTAAACAGAGGCGTGTGGAGTGAGGAAACTTGCCCAACTTTTCACCCTGCCAGGAATCAAACCCAGGCCCTCTCGCTTGCGAGGCGAGTGCTCTAACCACAAAGCTATAGGACTTCAGTATATATATAGGACTCCAGTTTCATTAAAAAAAATTGACAACTAAAGTTGGACCTATTGAAATTCATACCACAGAAGAAGGTCATTCAGACCACTGTGCTTGTGCGGGCTCTTTTAAGAGTAAACCTCTCAGTCCCACATACCTGCCCTTTCCCCATACACCTGCACACAATTCTTTTTAAGTATTTCCCACTCATCTTCCATTAACCCTATAAGTCAAAGCCCTAACAGGTAGGGTGGTCCTAGTTAGACAAGCAGCGGGAAAGCCTGCCAGACAGTGGCAAGCTATGTGGTTGTAGCTGGTTAGACTCCAGCAGTACCCCAATGCACACTTTGGGGTCCCCAAGCCTTGGCTCTTTCCAACCTATGCCTAATATTCTCCGGAACTCGGGAAGCAGGAAGCATTCCTCTAGGGAGATAGTGTGATTTCCATTCCGATACAGATCTCAGTTTGGTTTGGACACTTAAGCATGAGGATGGGTTTCTACATGTGTCAGACACTTGGCTGACCAAAAAAAAAGCAAAATCTGGAGAATGCAATCTTTCTCCCAGGAGAGCTGGGGTGGTGTGGGGAACGACACAGGTTCATAGAAGAAGGCTTTAGTACCATTAAGCTGGGCACTGGGATAGGGCTGAAATGTAACCAGTAAATACAAGAAACTGGTCCAATTCCAATGTTGCATCCAGCTAGTGTGGTTCTCAGGACTTGAGTGGGAAGAATCCCTATCCTCCAAAGTCGTGTCCCCTTTTGATCAATGACCGTCACAGATAAGTATTGTGTTCTGTTCTGGGCAGCACACTTTAGGAAGCATATCAAGGCTTTGGAGAGGGTGTAAAGGAGATTTACCAGGATGGTACCAGGAATGAGGGACTTCAGTTATCAGGAGAGGCTAGAGAAGCTGGGATTATTCTCCTTGGAGCAGAGACAGTTAAGAGGAGACTTAATAGAAGTTTTCAAAATTATGAGGATATTCGATAAGGTGAATAAGGAGAAATTATTTCCACTGATGGGTGGGTCGGTAACCTGAGGACACAGATTTAAAATAGTTGTTTTATTAGTTAAAATAGTTGTTTCTTTATTTAAAAAGAAACAGATGAGGAGAAATTTTTTCACGCAGCGAGTTGTTCGGATCTGGAATGCATTGCTTGAAAGGGTGGTGGAAGCCAATTCGCTAACAACTTTTAAGAGAGAAGTAGATAATTATTTAAAGAGAACAAGCTTGCAGTAATAATAATACTTGCATTTGATAGAGCACCTTATCACTTCATCGAGACGCCTCAAAGCATTTTGCAGGATAAAGTGGAGTGACTGTGCATTTTGTGGGCAAAATTCAGCAGCTAATTGCTCACAGCAATGTCCCACAAACAGGCACGAAAGGAACTGTTTGTGGGACATTGTAGAAGGAGTATTTTTGTAGTCAGATACCTGTATCCTCCAAAACACTAAATAACTGGAGTAAATCTAGATGCAGGGGAAATTTCCCTCCAAAGGAAGGCGGAGGGTGGGGTGGTGTTGGGGAGGAAGTGGGAGAAACAGTAATGGCAAAATAAACTTACCTTAGGTAGTTCTAACAACTGATTCCCATCCAGCCACAGGTCCTTCAGACTTATAAGTGCTCCAATAGATTCTGGCTGCAACGACAATTTTGAGATTTAAAGAAAAATTCCGAAAAAAGAACCAAGAAGATAAATAATAATAATAATAATAATAATAATAATGCCTGCACTCAGTTAAGAATTAGTAGTGTAAAGAATACTGATAAAGAATAGTCAGCCACGTAAACTCGACATCCACCCCCACCCTCCAAGCTATGGCTCTTAATCAGCCATGTGAAGTGCTTTGAGATGTCCTTTCAAAGAAACAAACAAAAAAACGACCTTATTCGCCACATCTATCTTTTTGCAGTTACTGTATATTTGGCCAGAACTATCGCAAGTGCAGTGGAATCCGTTGGAACGTGCTTCATTCTAACGCAGACTCGATTGCGATGTTAAGCCACTCTGCAGTGCTCCAAGACTATATCCTGCATGAACAGCGCTATATAATTGCAAGTTGCTGCCCTGTCCTTTTTGATCGTTCTTACGGTCACTTCCAACCTCCCGCTCCCCCTGGCTTGGGGTCAGACTCCGCAACTGTCAAGGGCTCTGGCACACCTCCCCGCGTGAAGGGCTCTATATAAATGCAAGTTGTTGTTGTTGTACTAACTGGACCACACATATTGCAGCGATGCACTGGCACAGACTAATACAAGCACAGCCACATTAAAACAGAAGAGTCACAGACAAATATACACACAAGTAAAATCTTAGCATTTTCGCGATGCATTTTAAGGCCAGAGTAAGCAAAGTAATACTCTGTACCCTTCTTAAAAATGATAGAGGTCACCTGGTGGCCGCGCTGGCTGACTGTGGCGCCGTGGCATCCTGCGTCATAGAGCACGCACGTAACCAAGCAACGGCAGGAACAAAATAAAGAACACAGACGAAGCTAAGCCACGGCAACAACAACATTACATTTTTTAAAGCGCATTTCAAGTCGGGAGGATGGCCTAGTGATTATAAATTATACATTTGTATTTATCATTATAAAGATGCCTAAGCGAAAGTCAAACCTTTCAAGGATAATTAAGTGTGTGTGTCTGCGTGTCAATCTACATTCCATATTGGATCCTTTGATTGCAAGTGTAGCTGCAATGGATATATTACAAATATATATATCTTATAAAAAATATTATTTTGTGACTGTCATATACCTATGTCCTCCAGTCACTGATTCCCCCAACCGGTGGAAATAGGTTCTGCTCATTTACCATTTATCAGTAAAGTGTAGTGACTGTGTATTTGAAGGCAAATGCAACCATGCTTGTACCAATTTCTACCAGTGCTTCGACTTCAGTATGTGTAGTCAGTTTGTAGCCAATTTGCGGACAGCAATTTCCCACAAACAGCCATGAAGTAAACAACCATTTTTTTTCCCGGAGTATTGTTGGTCAGGAGACTGGAAGAAACTCCCTTCACTTTTCAGTGCCATGATCTTAAATGTTCACCTGAACGTTCAAGACAGACAGGTCCTGACAGCACCTCCAAAAATGCAGTACTCCTCCAGCCTAAACTGTGAGCTCAAAGTCCCCAGAAGGAGCTTGAACCTACAACCTTCTGACTCAGAGGCAAGAGTGCTACCATCTGAGCCAGATTGACACCCATCCTTCCCCTCTTTCAAGGCACGTCTCGAACATACCTCTTTAACCGTGCTTTTGGTCATCTTTCCCTTCCCCACCCAACTTAGGTCCCTATCCAGCACTGTGAATGAGCTTTAGGGCGTCCTTCTGATGTGAATGGTGCTATATAAATGTAAATTGTATTGTATTGTAAAACAGGATTTATGTAAGATTGAACAGCACTGCCTTGAGGATACATGAGTCCTCAGTTATCCAAGGTGATGTGTAGACATGTTCTACCTAGCCTCTGCAGCTGAACCCCTAACGGGTAAATCAGTCCTAGCTGGACAAATGTGTGTTGTTGCCATACATTTGATAATGAAAAGCATTGACAACAGGGAGCTGGGAGCAAACTAAATGTCTTGGTCTGTAACAAAGCATTGCTGAGTAAATTAGGCCAGAAAAAGTGGACCATGGCAGGCTTTCCTGTGACACATGCCAGTAACATGTTGACTCCAATACCAATTACAACCGCCTCAGTGTGTTAAACTCACGTTTGCCAAGAAAATAAAATCCATCATCTCCCTTTGATTGGGAGACATCAAAAGAAGTCTTTTATCAGGGAACAAATAATTAGATTTACGAGTTTACATTTAAAGATTCTTTAACATCCATTAAGATCTGTACCCACTATGGTAGTAAGGGAAGCACTTCAACTATAAGGCCCTTCAGTCAGTTTGATCTCAACCTCCAACCTAATACCTTATAGAATTATAGAATCAAGCTGTTTCTTAAAAGAGTCCAGTGTCCTGTCTTAAATGTTCATCCTGGTAACCCATTACCCTCTGTGCAAGGTTCCTAATTATACAGCCAGCTGTAGTGCTAAGCTACTCAATGGCATTTCAGAGTAAAACTGAGTTATTTTAGTACTTCCAAGAACACATCTGCAACCTCAGAATACTCTTCATCACCCAACATCACCCGATTAAATACTTTAAATGCCAGAACATGCCGTTACTTTCAATAAATGCAAAGCAACAACAACAAATTACATTTGTTTTGCGCGCTTTGAAATGGAGAGGATGTCCCAAGGCGCTGGTCGGTCAAGGATTTGTACCCGAGCTGAGGGTTGGGATCAGGAGGGATGAAATCCCAATTGACCATTGTAATGGAATTGGAAAGACTCAGGGATAAGTATTCAGTATCCATTTTCCAGTGTGTCATTGAGGAAAAGTACATTCGATAGTACACACTTAAGAAGCAAAAATTATCCAAATTTTTCAACGCCTTTTGAGGTTAGTGGAGCTATTATTTTTGAAAACATTTTAAAATTTGGGAGCACACAGGCATATTCCAGGAACAAACTATTCCGATGGAAAGTGGAGGAGGAGCAAGAAACTCCATGGTAAAGAACAATAAAAATGCCATTCTCCTCTTTCGCTTGGGATAAAGTAACAGTTGCACGTGATAAAGGGCCTCACCACATCAAAACATCTCAAAGTATTTTATATAATTATATTATTTAATATTATTATTACAATAAATTCCTTTGAAGTGTAATAATATCAATAATCTTTAAATTTTATTTGGCACCTTATCCTGTCTTCAAAGCACTTCATGGAATATACTGTACAGTGAATTGACTGTATATTTTGTGGCGAAATATGGGCAAAGTATAGAATTTCAGTTTTCTACCCCAATTCCTCAGCGCAGAGCAAACATGTTTTAATTACGGTATTTCGATCCCGAGACTTCAACTGCACAAAATCAAGCCAACGGGGATATTGCTCGCAACGCTGATGGGATATAAAATAATGAACAGCTGTCTGCTGCATTTTTTTTCCTCTATATTAAAAATGATCCAAAAATAGAGCGATTACAACCATAGCTGAAGAAAACACAAAACAAAACCAGTGAAAGGGGAAGGTAACACACTTAAAGCTCGATATCTTTTAATGCTGCTTTTTTCAGCGCCTTGGGACGTCCTCCCAACATGAAAGGTGCTATACAAATGTAATCTTGCTGTTGTTGTACTTTTTTTTTGCGTCTGCATCACGACTCGTGGGCTACTACCCACTGCCAAAAGTGTAACATAAAATGGACAACTAAGTAACAGTACAAAAATTGGAATATGGAGAGCAATTCCTCTGGATAGTTTTATCTAATGCTTAGGCATCTTTACAATGATAAATACCTGGAGGAAGTGGTCTTCACATGCCAATGTAATAATCATAATAATAATCATCATCCTTGCATTTGATATAGAGCCTAATCATGTCTTCGAGATGTCTCAAAGCACCACACAGAACATATTGTAAAGTGAAGTGACTGTATATTTTGTGGGCAAAACCCCAAAATACATCAGCAAGCAGTACAACATCAGTACAATAGTACATCCCCCCTTAGCTCAAGCGCCTAATCAGCATTGTGATGCACTTCCAAAGTGAAAGGCACAATGTAAATGTATTATACATTGCAACAGAAGCAACTGGGCCCCCAGTCCACCAAAAAGAGGAATGTTCTACCCCAGAGAGTTGCAGAGGGAGAATCAATAGGGATGCTTAAACAAAAGACAGAGAGAAAAAAATAACTCATGCATTTGATATAGAATCTTATACAGTCGGGAATATTTTGAAACGCTTCACACAATACAAAGTCTTGAGATCGCATATTTTGTAGACAAATGCGGCAACCAAATTTACATAGACAGCCATGAAGTGAATAACTAATTTTATCTGGGACATCATTAGCAAGGACACCTGTGCAAACTTGCAGATAATTTGTGAAAACAACAGCATTTATATAGTGCCCTTCACGCGGGGTAGCGTCCCGCAGCACTTGGTACTTGAGTAGTGAAGGTATTAAAAGTCCTGTAGCTCAGTGGTTAGAGCACTCGCCTCGCAAGCGAGAGACCTGGGTTTTAAATAAATGCTTACAAAAAAAAATGTGGTGACTCGATCTATGACTGTTTGTGGGGCACTGCTGTGCGCAATTGGCTGCCGCGTTTCACCCATAAAATATACAGTCAATTCAGTTTACAATATAATCTGTGAAGTGCTTTGAGATGTCTCAACAATGCGATAAGATGAATTATCAAATGCAAGGATTATTATTAATTATTATTATTATTGGCTCTTGACCCTAGGACATCTATTGCAGGATGCTTCACCATCTGATCCAAGCTTTCCTAAGTTTCCTAAATATTGCTGCACCTTGGGTGCGAGCAAAACATTTCACTCTGTGCACTGGAGCGTCTCCTGGAAGCAGAGCAGCTTAACCTGTACGTTCAGTTGTCCTTTTTGTTGGCTAGTCCAAAAATATAAGCTCGCTAGTAATAGATCTAAAAGGGAGGATTAAGAGGAACTCCTTTAAACAGAGGGTGGTGATGAGAACTTGGAACTCACTGCAAGAAGTTGTGCATTACACACATTTAGGGGGAAACTTAATACAGACATAATGAGGAAGGGAACAGAG